CCGCCCCGCCGGCGTCGCGGGCGTCTGAGGGACACCTGGAAATGGGCTCCTCCCTTGAGTTTGAGCGCTGCCTTCCTTACCTGAACGGGGTAGGCGCGGAGCCCCTCAAAGGGAGGGACAGCGTGTTTTATGGGTTATGATACACGTTCAAAGCTAACCGCGGGGAGCAAGATCGACACCCCTCTTGTGTGCGCGCAGAAGGAAAGCACAACACGGCGTGGCGGAGCTCCAGTCACTGCTGAGGTCCCCCCACAGGCTGCTCTCCCCTCAGAATTCCCCACCTCCCCCTTCCCCCGAGGGACAGGGACAAGGACAAGCCTTTCCTGAAAACCACCTCGACAAAGAGATCCTCTGCCTGCTGTGCTGTGCTTGTTCTTTCTTTCCCGGCCCAAATGCATTCAGCTGCTGACCTCTGCCACTTTCTTCCCTTTAGCAAGGTAAGAGCTGGAACCACTTCTGTGGGGTTTAATAAAAGCTGCACCTTGCTGTGCAGCCAGAAGAAATATCAGACGAGAGGAGAAAATAGACCTATTACATTCAAAGTACTTATGTAAAGCTTTGCCCAGGACTACTATTCTTAAAGCTTTGCCAATCCTTCTCTAAACGGTTTGCTGTTCTGCTACTCCATCTATTCCACATTGCCTTTCTCTCTACCTGCTTTGCCTTTCCCTGTGCTCCGCTCCCTTCATCTCCACCACATTGCTACCACTGCTAAGGCTTCCTACTCTATACCTACAGTTTGTTCTCCAAATTGGCTGATGCCACAGAAAGTTCACACCAGGGGTCAGGCCTCCCACCTGTGCAATTGCATATCCTGCCTCCTAGCTGGGGTCAATGCTTGAGGAAGCAAAATAAAAGCCCTCAGAAGGCATCTGGCTATACACAGTTGGGTGGGCAAGAACAGGTTCCTCTCAGCCCCAGAACAGATAACCTGAACTGCAGAATTTTCTCCATCGTCATAGCTTAATAAGCATAGCTACAAAAGGGTTTAGGGCCACAAGGTTACTCAGCTCCCTGTAAAACACAGCTAAACACTCTGGTCCTGTATCATCTGGCATCAGTAGTTTGCTGCTTTCTGGCTATCTTCTGGGTCTAGCAAAATGTCCTTTCAGTTGTTCTCAGACCGTTGCTCCTCAGCGTCCCCATGTTCTCTTTCATTTGTAGGTTTATTAGAAAAAAAGAAGAGGAAAAGATGATAATTGCCATTTCACCACACTTTAGCTTGAAGCAAAACTCTAAATAGAAAGACTCAGCTCCTGTTAATACTGGCATCTATCTCAATCATTTGCGAGGAACTGCTGATCTCTTAAAATAGCATGGTTAGAGCGAAATGAGCCGAAACAATGACTGATAAACAAGTTGCCATGGGGAAGTGAACAGAAACACACAAGTTCCCTCTCGCTTAGCTCTTAGCAGCCCCTCTGTTCTGCTGGCATGTGGCTCAGTAGCAGGTCATAAAAGGATCTGGCCTGTTAGAATGAGGTGTAATGCATCTTCTTACCGATCCGGGTCATCGCTTCACACCAAGCAGAGGCGGGAGGAAAGAATAACACCTTGGCGTGCCCATGGTGCGCCCTGCCTAGGGGCAGCAGTTCCCACAACTTCCAGGCTGCTTACAGGATCTGATGGGTGGCCTTGGTCCTTTCCAAAACAGCAATCCCTAGAGTTGTGCCACTGGAGCTCCACTGCCGTTTCCAGAGGATTGGCTGAGGTAGAAGGAGTTGTGTCAGCTCAGGCTGTTTCCTTGAAGCGATACATGGTCAACCAGTCAGTCAACCTCCAAAGTCAGTCAGTCACAGTCAGTCAGTCCTCCAAAAATTGCATAAGAAAAAGAACCTGCAACATTTTTATTTAAGTACTCCAGTTTTTCTTAGGGTTTCTTTTGTTCTCGGAAGAACTCACCTTATTTTGTTTTCATGGAATATTTTCAGCCTTTGGAAACAAGACAAAAAATTTTATTCCCTGAATTTTTACTTCTGTATTTCCTTCTCTAGGCTTCCTCCCCATTTTCTCTCTCCGTCTCGCCACTCTACTAGAAAAAGTAAGGTCAGGTTAAGGGTGTTTGATAGTAAAGAAAAACCTCAAAACTTCCAGTATTTTTTTTGAAGATGGAAGACATAAGCTGTGAAAAGTAGGGTTTCTCACACTTTCTTCCCTTAATCTTACCTGCTCCCTACCTCTCTCAACAAGCACACGCCTTTTGCAGTGGAAAAAAGGAGTAATAGGAAGTTTAAAAAGAAAGAAGAAGGAATAGGGGAAGAATTTCTACCCTTCAACTGTAACTTTTAAATTCCAAAACCAAAATAACCTTACAATTTACGTTAACGTTAAACAAAGATTGGTTTCATCCCGAAGCTACGTGTTTGTTCATTTCTAGCTTCCCAGACGGGTTATGTGAAGAGTGTCTTGAAAATGACTACATTCCACACAGGATGAAACTATTTTCCAGAGAAAATAATTCTCTTACCAGAAAGATTTGACCAATTTGAGTGATTGCTCATATTCTGAACGCTTCCACATAAATAATATTACTTGGAAATAATTATAAAATCTTTCAAGACGATAACAGTCAGTGCAAGTCTGCCAGAGAGGCACCACCTGCATATCTGTGACCTGAACCAAATGAGTGATGGTTGCAGTGTGGACGCAGTGTGTGGCGGCTGCCCTTTACAGACACAACTCTGGCTCGTACAACTCCTGAACATACCCCAGCGAATAACATTTTATACAACGACATAGCTCACGTAGTAGTACTGGACAAAACCCTTCTGTGCTGGGTTACTTGACCACTCGGAACTGCCTTCAGAGCGTATGAGTTTCCTCAGACAACTTCTTTATCAGAAGCCTCACCTTCATACAACTCAGGGCTGTCGTACACTAGAAGGCTATCTTGCTGGCCAGGGGACACGCCGGCTGTGTTTTCCTGCTCCTCTGTTGCACAAGGGAAGCTACAAATCTGTCTGTACTTGCCCAGAACTCTTCAGATTTTCAGATCAATTTCAGAAATTGCTGCTGGCACTTTAGAAGAAAAGGATCCCACCAAGCCCTTCAGCAGGGCGCTGTTGCTGCTTCCCTTAGTGCTCATGACTAAGAATCCCTTTTTGTCTGAATCTAAGGTGGAATCACCCCTAGAGGATGCTTGATTCAGCAGGGGATCTGTCAGCAGGAGATCTGAGCAACTCATCTAAATGCACACTTCAGTCTCAGAGTCAACAACATTTTAAGGTCACATCTTATCCACACCATAAACTGATAGGTTTCACCCAAAAATGCACCAGAGGGGAGTGGTGTTAACCAGTTCTGGCCTGCAGTTTATTGTGGAGGAATTTATAAAATATACGTGCAAGAAAAGTTCTTAAAGTCTTGCCAAGTTGTCTGGAGAAAAGCTTCTGTAAGTTAAAAACTTTCTGCACTCTCGTGAAGCCGTTCTTCAGAGTGCTCTGTCAGTATGTGAGAGCACTCAGATGGTACAAATACCTCAGAAACTCTCCAGAAGGAGGGACTAAACCAGATTTGTCTTTGCTGAGCATGGAAGGAACAAAGGCACATAAATGTGAGAAAAGGCAGCAACTGATTTCTTTGTTTTTATGATTTTGGCCGTCGTAATTCATTTGGGGAAGTAGACTGCATTAACTAGTATATATGTTGAAATGCAACAGAAGTAGTGAGAACAAAAAAAGCCAAATTATTTCTGAAATTAAGCGTGATTGGTTTAGAACAAAGCCTATAGATTGTAGCTATCTGTAAGAACTTTGAAGGTCTGTGTCTTCTAGTTCCCCCCTCTGACTGATCCTTTGATAATTTGGGGGCTTACAAATATTATGCAGCCATGAAGGGTAAATTTAAAAGCTCTGGCATTGATTACTTTATTCAGATAGTATGCCTTCATTTCTGTTACTTCCTGTTCTCCTAGGGTTTGTTAGTTCCACACTTTTAAGATGTCACCCGTTGAGTAAATATGAACCCAAATTCGAGAACATTGCCCAGTCCTGCAAGCACAGAGCATGTGTTTCCCTGGCATCAAAACCAACGGAACAAAGTAATTTCACTGGAGGGAAGAATGCAGTGTTTTCCCATATCAGGACCTCAAACAGTAAATTACTGTTTTTAAAAAGGCCTTAAGAAAGACAACAGAATTGACGCAGCTTCTTGATCCCTTCTTAATTCCTTTAAAATTCCTTCCCCTCTTCAAAAAATAAATATGCGTAAATTCTGCTAGGATATTCTTTGAATGCCACAGCTTTTTTGGAGCCATTCTGGAGCCATTCTGGCTTTTTGAGAGCAAGAAAACTCTCAGAGGTACATTGTAATTTCGTATTTTAGAGAGGTGATGGGAGGGACAGCAGTCATTGTGATAAATATATTGCTATAATCCAATCAATTGCCCTTGACCTGTAAGAAAAAGTCCCTTCCTACAAGAATGCAACAGCTCTTCTCTGTAGCATGGACAGAGCATATTTTCTGCTTCTGTTTCACTATACACAATCTGGAAGTCCGAGATATTTTGGTACTCTAGCTCAACACAAATTCATTTTATTTTTCATTTTTCTGAAACTTTGCTGCTTTTTACCTGTAGTTCATGCCTTGATGTCCACACATTCCACCATGTATCTCCTCCAGCACTGCCTTCATCACCTCTAGTTCCATACATGCTAGATCTTGTGTTCAGACTAGTAAACCAAGTATGTCCTGAAAGCTCTGCATGGGGGGGAGAAAAGCAGCACTGCAGTTTACTGGAACACAGCTGATAGAGAAGCCAGTGTAAAATCCAAGCTATCAAGACCTGAAGATGCCTTAGGACAAACAGCAGCCATCTCTCCGAAGTATCGGAGTTGTCAGGAGGCAGGTTGCTATCGAAAGCCTCTGGCAGAGAACTTCCCTTATCCTCCACACACGATAGCAGGCTCTGCATTTGACACAATGCAGGCTGAAGCACACGCTGTTGGGAATAAGGCATTTATGGCTGAATTTGTGGAATCGCTTGCCACAGGATATCAGATTAACTCTTGGTCTAAGATGGATCATGTTGTACAGCATTCTACATTTCCATTATGTACATAACATCTTAAAAATATTTTGCAGTCAGCTACATGGGGAAAAAATGGAAAAGTCACTTAAGTCTGCTACAAATGGAGACACTGGTGGACAAATTTTCAGGGGAAGTGCTGAAAGTACAGTAACAGGTGTTACAAAGAAAAGCAAGCAGTGGATCAAGCAGACTTAGAAGAAACATATGCTGTACTTTAATTAAATGTAGAAGCACATAGGTCGGTCTGAGTTGGTGCTTTTAGAAGTATCTAGGTCACAGTGGGCTTAACACAGTATTGCTCCCATTAGGAACGGTGTTACAGATGCGCCCAGGAACCCTGAGAATGATCCCATGGCCTGTCTTGGAGAGGAGTGCTGTACAAACATTCAAGAAGATGGGGTCCCTACCTGGAGATTATTGTAATTAAAGCGTGATGCAAGTACTGGGTGTAACAAACAAATGGAGAATGGGGCACAGCAATGATAGGGAAGTGTGGGTGGATAAACTGGTTATGACGTACAGCTAGTGTGAATAAATAAAACAAAATATAGGAGCGAGAGCAAGAAGAGGAATATTCAAAGCTGATTAAGTGGAATGACGGACTCATACAAAATGGCAGTTGGTCACCCCAAGGCAGTGTTGCATCTCATTTCCATGGTGCCAAATAGTAACATATTAATAGTCTTCATAGCACATATGTGGCCATGGGCACAGCCTTTACCTTCCTCCTTCAGGTATGTATCCAAAAGATCTTTTCCTGTCATGAAAGATACCTCCCGAGCATCACTCCTGGTGAGGTTGCAAACCCTTTTTGCCCCTTAGCACAGTCCTAAAATTCTGATCAACCCACCAGTGTTCATGGCCATTTCAGGGGGTGCTGGAGGGTGCTCAAAAGGTTGCATATTTGTCTGGAGTCCTGACCAGATTCCCACTCGATGCTTTTTCTGTAGAGTTCTCCCGGCTCTTCACATGGGCATACTTTTGCCATGCATGCTCACTGATGTCTCTAATATGTAAAGTGCTCCAAAGCCCAGATTCACCTTTGCATCTATTTTGATGCACAGCTCAGGAGGTTTCTGAGAGAGCGAGCACAGATACATGATCTGCATTGACTTTAATCCATGGGTAATATACAACTTTATGTCTCCATTACGCTTTGCTGTGCCAGTGGTGCGGAGAGAACCACCCAATTTGCAAACTTCTGGAAACCTTGGTGAAGGTGAGCTGGCTCAGCTTCAATCCATCTACCTCTGCAGTACAGGCATTATGGTCAGAACTGCCAACAGAAAAAACAGCAAAAAGGGAGGTTACATCTAGTCTATAAGCAAGTGGTGTGCCTACTGATTCATATAAGCCTGCCTGAATCAGCCTGAGACTTTGCAGGGCAGTCTGTACAAATACAAACCTGTCTGAATACTGGGCTGATGTGTCAGGGTCTGAAGAAACGACTGCGGTGCTGCTGTCAGTAGCTACTTTAGAGCTGCTCAACTGTCTTTATGTGTACTTCCACCTCGTTTCCAGTCCCAAGTGCAGGCACAACCAGTTTCACGCTTCTGCTTGAAGGAGTACAGCCACACAGTTTCCATCTCTGGAAAGCAAAAGGAAACGCTTAGCGGCAACTAGTGAGAAAAGCATGGGACTTCGTGCACAGCCATCCCTATGCTATTGTCATCTGCAGATGGTCAGCTTTGGGCACCCTGATGCCTCCTGGAAGCTGGAACGAGCGTTAGAGGGCAGCAACTCCATTATAACGCTGCTTGAGTCTAAAAGCAGTTAACTTTGGACCTTTGGATCAAAAGGCCAGCGTGAAGGCATCCAACCCAGATTTGTGAGTGAAGAAATTATTGGCCAGATGTGAACGCTCTGAACTCTGGCACATTTCTCCCTCAGTCTGAAAGAGCTTGTGTTTGCTAACATTCACGCTGCGATACACATCTTTATTCTTTAGTTTGAGAACCGCAGGAACTCTTGCTCCCCTTGTGTATTTTGCAAATAACTTCAGCATACACAGGATTTCATTCCATAGTGTGTAAAAAGTAGCGCAAGACTGACTGTTTTATCTACAAATTTCCAAAAGCCTCGGCAGATTCAATCTAAACTGGTTGCTTCATGAAAATGATAAAAGTCCATGGTTTTCCAATCATCTACAGGCTCACTAAACATAGCTTACCTTCCGTTTGGCAGATCCGGTACAGGTTATGTTTTCACATCTTCTTTGCTGTAAAAATGGACCAAGAATTTGACCCCCCATTTGCATTTGGAAATAGTTTGTGTACTTGGTCTGGCTAGGATGGAGTTCATTTTCTTCATAGCAGCCTGTATAGTGCTGTGCTTTCGATTTGTGACTAAAACAGTCTTGATAACATGCTGATGTTTTAGCTATTGCTGAATGGCGTTTACACAGCACCAAGGCCTTTTCTTTTTCCCACTCTGCCCTGCCAGCGAGCAGGCTGGGGGGTGCATGAGAGTCTGGGAGGGGACACAGCCAGGACAGCTGACCCCAGCTGACCAAAGGGATATCCCATACCATACAACATTGTGCTCAGCGGTAAAAGCTGGGGGAAAGGAGGAGGAGGAAGGGGGGGATGTTCAGAGTTATGGTGTTTGTCTTCCCAGGTAACCCTTACACGTGCCGAGGCCCTGCTTGCCAGGAAGTGGCTGAGCACCTGCCTGCTGACGGGAAGTGGTGAATAAATGCCTTACTTTGCTTTGCTTGCACATGCAGCTTTGCTTCACTTATTAAACTGCCTTTTTTTTTTTTTTTTTTCCCCTCTCTCCTTGTTTTTGCCCTTCCAATTCTCTCCCCCAGCCTGCTAGGGGGGAGCGAGCAAGCGAGTGACTGAGTGGGGGCTTAGCTGCCAGCTGAGGTCAACCCACCACAGTCCTTTCTGGTGCCCAACGTGGGGCAAGAGGACTTAAGAGATAACAGTATCTGATCAGAGTGTGCCAGGTGGAATTTATAGCTATTAATTGGCAGGGTCCCATGCTTGCTTGCCTTACTGTGTATTAGTCTGGTGCTTAGTGGCCATTTTGGACTTCTGCTGTTTATTGTAGCACTTATCATCTTACTCTGCTGTGCCAGGGAACATTTTGTTGACAGCAATGGCCACGTGCCAAGGCATAGGGCCCAGGCACTGCTGCTGTTCCTGTACTGGACATACTGGAACGCCAGTGTTACGGAGTCCATTTTCATCATAGCAGCCCATAGGGTGTTGTGCTTTGGATTTGTGACTAAAACGGTGTTGGCAATACACCGATGTTTTAGCTGTTACTGAACAGTGTTTGCACAGCGTCAAAGCCCTTTCTTTTTCCCACTCTGCCCTGCCCGTGAGAGGATGCAACCAGGACAGCTGACCAAAGTCCTATCCATTAGCAAGTAGAAGCAGAATCTCCAACCTGTAAAACTGATGCAGATGTACTGAGTCATGCTCCTGCAATCAATTTTGCAGTTGCCTACCTTTAGTTTATTATATATAAATATATATGATTCTGTGTAATTACTTATGTAGAACCTTTAAGATCATAAATTGTTTAGTACTTATCGCACAAAATCATGGTTCTGCTGAAATTAGCGAGCATTTATTATCTGTTTTCTAGGGTAAAAACCTGACTCTAAAGTTTACATTTTTTTCTTTTTTTTTTTTTTTGTGAATATGGCTTGTATTGCAATTTCATGGCTGTATCAAACAGAAATAAGTTAAGCACCATTACAAAATATTAAGAAATGATCTTTTAAGATGAAGCAGTTATTCATAGTTTCACCATTTGAAATTAATTCTAATTAGCACTGAAAATTCCCATCAAGCTGAAAATTTTACTTTTGTGATGCAAAATTTCACTAAATATTGCCAAAGAGGTACTACTGTGAAGGCAAATATACAAAATAAAATGTTGATGTTTTTCATGCTACAATATAATCTTTATTTTCCAGTGAAAAGTGACAACAGTTTATGACATAGTAAAAAAAAAAACCCAACAGAAAATATTTGTTCAGTTTTTATACTTTTTTTCACTCCCATTCTATACCTTCATTTTGAAATGCATGGTCCCTAAGATACAGGAATTGAAAAACTACTGAAATAACCTCGATAACACTATACAAGGTTCAAACACAAACTACTTTGAAAAATCCACCCTGCTGAAGGGGACCTAGTGTGGTAAGTGGAAGTTGTGCAATTAAACAATTTACAGGATAGAAGCCAAAGACACTACTGAAAGCTTAGCTAAAAGTCTGCTGGAATAACGAGTTCATGGACTGTGTATGTATTTTCACTAGATGTAGTCATCCTGGGAAAAATCCATGTATGCTCTATGCACAAGAGTAGTTCCATTAATGAAAACACTGTCAGGGCTAAATGGTAAAGAAGATGCATAATTCTTTACCATTCTTTTTGGTAAAGAAAATCTAACCCTCCTCTGCCACCACCAGGTTGCATTCTCACTGAACAGCTATGGTTCTCAATGCTTTCCTATTCAAGAGAGCTCCCCCTCCCCGCGGCCTAAAAGTTTGTATGGGACTGAATGCCAGGAGTTCTGGATTCTCACTTTGGTTCTACTGTTGCTATTCCATGACCTACCATAATCCAGGTTAAATCACTTCCCTCCTCACTTCTGGGAAAGAAAGGTATTGCTGACCCCCCCTCCCCTTGCCAGGGCACTGAAGATGAATTGTTATGTGAAATCCACAGCATTTCAGGTGTGCTGGGTATGCAAGAACCAAATCAATAATGCAAACCCACATTCTCCGAGAAAGGGTTGCATACTCCTCAATGCTGGGATGTGTTCTACCTTTGTCATAGTGTAGATTAAAGACATGTGGAGGCGAGGCCACCCCTACAATCATTTCTTATCGAGGCATTGCTGGAATGCAGCACCACAGCTCCATATCTGCACTGGTGTTCCCTCTCAGCCCTATGTATGGAGAACATCCACCTGCAGCTTTCTATTCTTCCTCAGTGCTGCAGAAGCATTACCAAATGGAGATAATCAGAGCTCAGGATTAAGGCCAGAGTCTCCATCCCCAGGGATTTAGAACTTAAAATTAAGTAAAAATAAGACAGAGTACTGATTAGAATGAAGAAGTGATACACAAATCAGAAGGGACTGCTATTTCTTCCCAGAGAAAAGCAGCTGTTTTCTAAAGTGTGTATTTGTAGGAATGAAACATCTGCCAGAGGAATCTCTCTCAATTCTTGCTGGCAAAACATTAAGGTCCTTTGAGGAAGCACACATCTGAACTACTAAGTGTGACTGTTTTAAGGGTTTTAAAAAAAAAAACCAAACATTGTTGTTCTACATGACGACTGACGAAAGGTTAAGAGCTCCCAGACTCGTCGGTCCTTTTCACAGCCAGACCCCCACCAAAATCACAGCCATAGAGTTCTACCCGAAGGGCAATACCATGATGCCATGTTCCTGGAACGATGCGGATAAACCTGGACAGGATGGGTGGATTAAAGAAATGCTTGACGTGCCCATCACTGTTTTCATTACCCAAGAAAACCTGCAAATACACAAATGCACAATTATTTAAAAGGCAGCACTTCAAAAAACCCTGCTTTTTCTTTTTAAAATGGTTCCAAGCTGTTGCATTAGCCATCCAGGGTAGACAGACTGGCTCATTTCTGATTTTACATAAGATCACATCCAGGCTCTTCCTAAAACGCTGGATCAAAGCTAGTTCAGGCCAGGAATATCTGAGTCTGAATTAAACGGCCTCTGTTTCCATCCGCACCATGAAATTTGCCATTCTAATTTGGATGGACTTGAAAAAAAAGCTTCCCTTTTACCTTTTTACCTCTGCTAATAGCCCTTGTGCGTTAGGTTGGTGTAAGGTGATATGGGCAACAGTATAAAGTACTGTGTCTGCTCTGTGGGTATCTGGAGCTTTCCAGCTCTGTTACAGCAAAACTGCTCACTAACATTAATTTCATGATAAAATCAAAGCAGAAAAAAAAAAAGCTGAAAAGAGGCCCTGGGAAATCCATTGTTCATTCAAATTAAATGTCCTCCTTTACAAATAGCATCAGCTCCTTTTATCACAATGTTGACTGCATTCTCTACAGATTTGGAGTTCTTTCCTTTCATTACTGTTAATTACTATGATCAAAATCAGATGGATATTATGACATTATCGGTGGTAACCCCAGCTCCCTAGCATTTTAAAATCCTCTGAGAATATCTCTTTGGCTGGGTATTCTGCCTTTGGGCTTTGACTGTGCTCAGCATCTAAAACCAAGCAATGATACAATTGTCTGAGCTGAAGATGATACCTTTGCCACTGAGCTTGAATCATCTGTATAGGATTTCCACTCTGAGCCTTGGTCGCTGTATAGGATAACATAGGTTTTCACAAAGTTTTCAGTAGATAGGGATGTGACCCCCTGGGTAGCAATAGCCGTTATCTTCTTAATTGTGAGGAGATCAATTTGCAGCCACTGTTGGTCGTTGTTCAACTACAATTGATAAAAAGGGTTGTCTATTAGCAAACGTGTCTTGTCTTTATTTGCTTAAGTGAAAAATCCTGTTTAAAGATCGTTAAAACTGCATCAAAATGCACCAAAACTGTATCAGAGAAGTATAGAAGAGTAAAGCTGAGGCAAAAGTCACAAGCGCTCTTGGTGGTCCATACAATTAACTTCTTCACTGCAGATGGTGTATTTGGTGTCTTAAGATTTCCACATTAATTTCCAATACATAATGAAATATAACACAGATTTATCTCCAGTATTAAAATGCAATACATAATACTAATACCAAATGCTTATACAAAACAGTAGCTTCCAGCAAATCTCAAGGTGCTTTGTAAAGAAATGCAGCTTCATTTTGAAGACACAGAAGCTCACATGCCTTGCTGAAGGTCTTCCAGCCCCATTATCCATTAAGCTGCACTGCCTATAAACCAACCCAGGAAAGGTTTCTTTAACTCCTTGGAGCCAAATATTCAACTGGTATTCGTCTCCCAAAATTAAAAGGGCTATTTCTGCAGGGGAGTGCTGCAGGCTCTGGCCCAGAGGACACCATCCATCTCTCAAAATACGATTTCATTGATGTTGCCAGAAGTTCAGCAAGTTTTCTACTGGAAGAGTTGAATGGGCTTCTTCCCAAAGGATGGCTAAAGAGCTGTGAAGTAACCCTATCACGCTTGGCACTGGATACAGCATGCAGGAAGCGCATGAGCACATGGGCAGCACAAATTTATTAACAGTAGCTGTCTTGTTGTCGTCCCTATTTTTCACTTGTTACCTTGGCTCGCCAGGCATTCATCTTTCCTTTCTGATTGAGACGAGCGAGTGAAGGGTCCCATGTGTTAAACCAGAATGTCTTAACAGACGAGGCTGTTATCTGGGTATTCTTGATCTCTCCATTTTCCATTCCAAGTGGCAAAGAGCAACCTGTTAAGAGAAGCACCATGTTATCTGCAGTTCATCCAAATAGCCATAGCCTAAGCAACAATGTTGGAATTGAGAACACCCACAATTTTAGCTTCATTTAATGTATTAGGTTAAAAATTTGCCAGAAAGGAAGCACCAGCACACGATCCATTCTTACCATCTACTTCACAGCCCAGGAGCTCCATGCGAAGAGTAGGCCTGTTGTAGGCCTCAGTTGGGTAGACTCTGATGTACCTAGCGATAATAGGGGGATCAATGATGTTCTCTTTTACCCCATAGGCATCGGAATTACCTTCAAAAATCTATTAAAAAAGAAGAAAAAATATCCACACAGAGTTAATTTAATGCAAACACAAGCTTGGATGCTGAAAACCTGCTTTTTAGTGAAAGTAGTCTTTTTTATACCATTAGCCCCCATCCACTGTGATGGAGCACCCTATGCTGCAGGGCAACTTGAAATATTTCATGGTCCCATCTTAGCATATGTGGAAGCGCCTGAAGGCCTCAGTTCAAATAAGCAACCCATTTCTATGCACTGTGTAAGTCTGTAAGAAGACATTAGTAAGGAGGCAAAAGGAGACATAAGAGACAACAGGTTTTCGATTCGGGAGTCGTACCATAGAAACCTCAGGGTTTGCTTCAAGAAGCTGACATGGGCTTAGGAAATAAAAGTAGGGAGAGAGGCTTGTGAGAAAGCCGGACTCTATACAGTCAAGGTCACAGGGCCAATCTAAACTCCAGTCTAGGAGGTTCCTCACCTTATAATTTGTCTTCTGGTCTGAATTTGATTAGATTGGTAATGCCCTTTGGGG